GCTCATCATACCCTCCCCGGCTTGGAGCGAGGATGTCCAAGCTGGCTGCTGGTACCTCACGCAGCGAGGAAGGAGCGTGCGATGGGTTTCACGTGCCCTCTGCATCCTTTGGGAAATCAAAAAGAAGAAAAACATTGCTCTGGACTCTGTACCCAAGCCCCCCGGCTTGTTGCAGGCGGTCCCGTGCTTCTCTGTCCCTTAACAAATCCAAAGCTCCTTCCCTACAAGTCACCAACTGTTTTTGCCCGCACAGCCCAGCTCTGTGTCCCTGGGTGTCTCTGGAAAAGTGAATTTCGTGCAAAAACGGGCTGCCCTTCCCTTCCACAAGCTCCAGTCCTCCCCAGCGCTCTGTGGGTCCCGCTGCCCCTCTGTGCTGACGCCCGAGGCAGCAGGCAGCTTCCCCACTCCCGCCTGCCCGCCGCCCCTGCCTGCTTCAGGGGCCCTGGGAGCATCCCTGCCCGTGAACCCCACCTGCCTGGCAGCCCTTCCTTACACTGCCAGCCCAGCTTTTCCCCTCCCAGCGATGCTGATACTCACATCCCCTTTGTTTTACCTAATTTGAGTGGTTTTTGAAAGGGGGGGTGTTGAGTACAAGTGGTTTTGAATAGATGGGGGAGGGTGATAAAATCGCTCTGGGCTGAGCAGCGGGAGAAAAACTCTCCCGGCTTACGAGTGTGCAGATATGATGGACATGGGGAATGGGGCTGCGTAGCGCTGGGTGGGGTGGGTGCTGCAGAGAGGCAGAACCGCTTTAATGCCCTGTACACCGAGAAATGTTCTGCAGCCCCGTGCGGGTGACAGCAAGGAGGGACGGGACGGTGTGGGGGTTATCTGCAGCCATCGCTGTCCCCGAGCCAGCCTTGCGGCTATTGATTTGGAACTTGCCCCGTTCACGCTAACCTTGGCAGTGCCAGCTCCCCCCTTATCAGCACTGATAAACCCCGCTGCAACCTCCCACCCCGTCCCACTGCCGGCCCGGCAGCATCACCCCATGAGGTGCCGCGGTGACAGATCTTTTCTGCGACTCTGCCTTTGCACCGGTTGCTCTTTCGTTGCGATGCTCTAAATCCAGGACGCCTCGCTCCTATTTTTGCACAGAGGCTGGGGCTGCACCAACTCTCTTTTAGCCCTGAGTGGGCGCGCATCCCTTGCTGAGTGTCTCAGGTGAGGAAGGATGCGGCGCCAGCTGCAAACACTTTTCCAAAGGAAACTTAAAGTCAGCCTCCTCTTTCTCCTGCTCCTGGCCCTCCTGGTGCACTTGGCGATGGATTTGGCTCTCCCTGCAGCCCGCAGGCCCTGTGGCTGTGATGCGAAATCACTGAAAGCCTCGAGTGTCCCATCAGGCAGCCCCGTGCTGGCCGGCCCCAAAAAGCTGAGCCTGCGAATCCTTCAGGATTTCAGCGGCAGCAACGGCTCCTTGGAGAAAAGCCCCCAGCCGCAGGGAGCGGGGCTGCATGCAAGGGCTGGAAAGCCGGGGGTCCAGCGCCAGCACGGAGAGGGGAATGCGGGGTGGACCAAGGGATCAAAGCTGGCAGCGCTCTTCGAACATCCTCTTTACAACATCCCAATCCCGGAGGTGACAGAGAAAGACAAGCTGTTTGTCGTCAACCCCATGGAGAAGTTCAGCCTGCGCAGCAGCGGGAGTGACGAATGGTGAGGAGCGAGCTCAGCCCTGGCTTGCTTTTGGGGGATACGTGGGTTTGAGGGGACAAGCAGCAGGGACCAAACAGTTGTTCCCTTGTGTAGATCAGCATCCTGCCCTGGAGGGGCCTGAATTGCTAAGCACGCTCTTCTTGTGCCTCAAATCTTCTCTTAGCCCTGAATTTCTGGGCTGCTACTACCCAGGAGCCTGTAGTACACGGCAAAGCCAAAGGAGACTCTTGAATTATTCACAGTATCATGTAGGCTATCTTTTAGGTGATCTCCTCACCTCCTTTCCTTCCCCAATGCAGACTAGCCTTTGGTCTCCTCTCTCTATATGACATAGTCCCCACTCCAGATTTCTAACCAGTTTTATCCCCCTCTCCTGACACATTGGAGAGGCCAAGCCTGCAATGTAGGTTACCTCCAACCGTGAGACCGTTCCTGTCCTGCATTTTGCAGGACATCACCTGACCTCTTTAGGCTCAGCCGTATGGTGAGCTCACCACTGCCGGCTGCCTATTTTTATCACTGGACTACTAACCTCTAATTAGGAGGGAAGATATTAAAAGCTTTAGCGTCTGTAACACGTAGCAGCTTCCTTACAGAAAGCACGCCTTCCAAATGTGGTGGCTGCTAAAATTGGGAGAGAATAAAAGCTGGTTTAAGAGCTGGTTTCCACAAATGGGCATTTGCCTTGTCTCTGAGGACCACCTCGGCTATGGATAACCATGGGAGATTGGTCTGATTTGATGAAATTGTGGCACAGTCTGCATTTTCCTAGAGAGACATGGATTTGGGTTACAGATGCCCTGGGCCGGGCTGCCCCATTGCAGTCGCAGTGGGTGCTGGTGCAGACTGGGGGCAGATACCCCCAGGAGACCCCCTTGAATGCCATCAAACTGCAAATTTGCAGGAGGCACAGAGGCAGGGATAGTGCTAACCCAAACTCATCCCCCCAGGGAAACCAGGGGTGTGTGATAAACCCATCCAAGGGGAACTGGACATTGAGGGTGGGAGTTCAGGTCAGTGCTGGGGATGGCTGGGAAGCCCCTGCTCCTCCACCCCTGTTTTGGTGATGCGTGTGCGTCCCCAGTGAGCACGGGGGGGATGTGTAGCCGGTTATATTCCCAGGAGCTAATCCCTTGGGGAAAAATGACGAGACAAGCTGCGCTGGCAGGGAAATAAAGGAATAGAGGAGAGGAGCAGGATCAGCCTGGGGATTTTCTGCCGAGGATGCGAGGGAAGACATCGAGCCCCCTCCGGCCGTGCTGGAGGGTCTCCCTGGCCACCAGCCATGGCTGGGACCTGCCCAGTTGCCAGGAGCCCCAAGGAGGGCTCATGGGGCAGGGGTTTTTGCCACCACCCAGGGCTTGTGCCGAGCCTTCCCCCTGCTCCATGCACTGGCTCCTGGGAAGGGCCTGGGGACACGGGACCCATCCCGCCCCAACTAAACACTGTCCTTGTTGTTGGGGTGGCGGTGGCTGTCGGGCTGCAGGGTCAGCAGCAGTAAAGCCGAGACGCTCCTCCCGACAGGGAAGACGGCCTACGACACCTACCCTGCCTGGCTCAAATTCCACGTTGGCATTAACCGCTACGAACTGTACCCCCGCCGGGACCCCGTGATGCCCACCCTCCTCCGGGACTTAGCCACGCAGAGGATCGTCAGCTCGGGTACCCACCTCCCTGCCTGCAACCCTGCCCGCACCCCTGCCCTGCTGCCTGCTGCCCACCTCCCTCATCCCCGTGTGCCCCTTTTCAGTCCAGAAGTCTGGCGGGACCCAGCTCAAGCTCATCATGATGTTCCCGAATTATGGGCAGGCCCTCTTCAAACCCATGAAGTGAGTGGAGCCGGGCACAACACTATACACCACCTGCATGGTCCCGTTAGGCAGCAAGGAATGTCCGGAGGAGACCACAGAGGGAGAAATGGAGAAATGCTTTGTGTGCTGCCTCGCTTCAGCCCCACCACCCCAAAACTGAGGCGAGCGGGATGGTCCCCCTTCCCTTTGCCTTCCCTGGTGGTGCTTGTGGGAGGCTGGGCGCAGCTTGTGATGGGGTAGTGACCTCCAGTGGTGGAAAGAAGAAGATGGTCCATGAGGACCATCCAGGACCCTCCAGCCCATGAGGACTTCCCAGCCCTTGGGCTGGGAGCAGGGGGTGCATGGGGGCCTGTCTGGGGGGTTTGGGGCCACACCACCCAACAGGGAGCGACTGGAGGAGACTGGGTCTGGCTGTGTCTCCAGTGGCACCAGGGACACAAGGTGAGGGGTGGCTTGAAGCCAAGCTCACACTTGGGGTGAGCCTGTCCATGGCCATCACCCCCACCCTCCCCTCTCCTCCCAGGCAGACCCGGGACCAGGAGACGCCCATCGACTTCTTCTACTTCTCGGATTTTGAGCGGCACAATGCGGAGATTGCAGCCTTCCACCTGGACAGGTGAGCACAGGCTTTGCATCCAACCCTGCCCTCCTGTGACAGCAAAGCAGCAGAGAAACTGCTCCTTCATCCCACCTCTTCCTCCCTGTTGCGACAGATACCTGCGTCTCATGGTGGTTTTAATAACTTGCAGTGAAAACCAGCCAGGTTTGGCAAGAAATGGTTCCAAGTTCTGTGTTTCAGGATCCTGGATTTCCGTCGAATCCCCCCAGTTTCTGGCCGTTTGGTCAATATAACAAAGGAGATTCGTGACATCACCACAGACAAGAAACTGGCCAAGACTTTCTTCATCTCCCCAGGTGAGCTCTCATGCTGTCC